TGAGCAATGGATGACTTTGTTTTTTTATCCTGGCAGGGTGGGTATAACTTGCGCTCGATTTCAGAAGGGGTCTGTGCTTCACTGAAGATTCTCCTCGGAGACCCTTGTCCAAGTTTGACTCAGCCCTTTGCACCCTGTGAGAGGTAAGATTTTTTTCTTTTAAGCTTCTCTTAAATCTCATGTTTTTATTAACATACTTTTAGGTTGTTAGCAGTATGGTTTAAGCATTTCAGATGTCCACTTTATATAAACTCTGATGCCCCTAATAAATATTGGTTCTTGAAATATTCTGCATTAAAGGAGACCTTCATCCCAAAGGACAAGGTGGGTTATCAGGCTCTAACCCCATCCCTCTACCTTTCACCTCTTCATGCCAGCCGTACGCAAATTAGCGGCTGCACTGAAAGCCCTGGGTCCTGTTCTAACGATCGGGACCTGGAACTCCCGATTTTGGATCACCTGATCGCTATGATAGCTTCTTATTGGCTGTCACAGTGATCAGTCTCTGTGAAGCCCGCCCCTGTGTTTCCTCTCTGTCATTTAACACCCCGGTCACATCGGGTGCGACTTGGCATGTGATTTGCATGCCCTGTGACTTGCAAATCTTATGCCAAGTCACATCCTATTGTCTGCTATTAGACTTGGTCGGAGCCGCACCGATTTCTAAAGTAGTGAATGCACTACTTTTGTTGCGATTTGCATAGACATCTGTGTCAGATGTCTTGCAAATTGCAACTGAAATCAGCATCTCACCCGATTTTTAAATTGTGCAACTTCACTGTAAGTCACACGATTTCAAAATTGGCTTTGATGTGCCCAGGAGCTCAGAGAGTAAAAAAAAGTGTTTTAAAAATAAATAAATAATAAAATAATAGTTAAAAAATCCCAAAAATGTAGATCAAGGTTTGATCTAGTTCAGTGACAGGGTTAGTGTTTGGGTCAGAGTCCGTATTCTCTTTTTTTTTTTTTTTTTTTTTGTTCAGGATTTTTTTTAATTTTTAAATTAGTGTCAGTGGCGGGATAAAAAAAAAGTAAAATGCGCACTATTGTTTCTGGGCTGTACTACGGGTACAAACAACTAACATACACATATATGGTATCGCTGCGATTGTCAGGAGCAGGAGAAATTCTTTTGAGTTGTTCTTTTGTGGTAGGTTATGGTAGTAGCAAGAAGTATACAGCTAAATTTAAAAAATGGAAATCAGGAGATATCCATTACCATTCACCACCAAATTAAAGCCCAATTTGTCCTGAAAAAAAACAAGGTATAATCCAACTGGATGCACTATGTAGTTGTGATGATATGTACTGTTTTGCTAGCACATGTCAAAGTTGCAAAATTGTGCTTAGGCGTTAAGATTTGTTTTACCCTTAGGCGTAAATGGGTTAAGTGCTGCAGGGCAGAATTTCCACCTTTCTTGCCTAGGTAAGAACGACATTGTGCATGTGTGAGGATGTGCTGAAGGCTCTCTGAGCTTCAAGGCTTGTCAAAAGACCTTTGACATATCTGTGCATGTGTAAGTAACCATGTGTGCAAGGGCAGCGCAGTGAAGGACCTCTTTTCCTGGGCATGCATGAGCACAGCTCGGCACATGCGCAGATCTGCAGCAGGGCTTTGCCGGTCTAGCAGGCTGAACAGAGCCTTTGGTCTCTGTGCATGCACAACACTATCGATAATAGAGGCAGTGGTGGAGGGGATGAAGCTATGATCAAGAGAACCGAAGTTTCTGTTTAACTTTGTATGTTAAAGTACACTTCCAATGAAAATCTTTTTACTTTTTAGCTTTGGAAAGAATATGAAAGTGTTTGAACTGCCGGCAGTCTTTTGTTGTTGTCCTTGTACATGTTGGAGAGATTTACCCTGTCCTGTTGACCATTCCCAGCAGGAGTGAAAGAGAGAGGCATTGTAAAATTGTTTGGTGTCATCTGAATAGAATTAAAGAGGATAACTTTTAGTGCGGACAACAGTTGAACGTAGGGTTTTCTTTTATTTTGGGAAACTGTCCACTTCCAGTTGTGTCTTAGGGAACAGGAGGTGCAGGGGAGTTACACTGATGGGGCTATTATCGTTAATAAATATTGTGAGGGGCTCTAACCCTTCCCAGCTCTAACCAAAACTGTTAAAAATAATGTGGTACACCTTAATGGTCTACCCTAAAATAAAACACTATACAAAACACTATACAATATAATAGTGCTATATAAATAAAAAACAATTATAAGCTATACTATATTGGCACCAAATTTCCAGCTTTAGAACGTTTTGTACTGCAGGTAGGAGCTTTGTAGGCTTGTGGTTGTGTTTATATGTGAATAATTTGTCACATATTTGACTTCTGCAGTGCCCTGGAATCAATCTCTGAGACCTTCTGTGTTCACAGGAAGTATTGGCGAAGCCTGCAGGAACAAGGTAGGTGTCTGTCCAGAACAGCTTGAAGAAAAAGCTCAGCTTTTGGAAAGAAAAAAAATGCACTTTTTTTGCAGGTAAAAAAAATAATGTGCATTTATTTACTTCCAAAAGAGCCTGCGGAGCATTGTACCCTTGATCAGCAGATTGTGGGTGAAATCTCGGGCCTCTGCAGACTTTCAGCATAGCTGTCTGCCCATACATCGTACAGGCAGGCGATTATTTGAGAGCAGGAAGATCAATGGACCTCACCAGCACGAAGATTATTGGGTCTCACCAGCACTCTCGCAGTTCATTGAAAACTATAAGCCGTCAGCCGCAATGGCTGATGATACATGTAGGCATTCACAGGAAACTGTAATTGAATGATGTGGCTGTTTGGGAGGAGCCCTGCATGGCCTCAATGTTTTCAAATTGTGACAGCAACTGTGGGGAGAAGATTCCTCGCCAAGTGTCATAGGGGGGATCGGGGGGAGAGGCTGCAAATGCTGGAACATGTTGCGTGTTCTACCCTTAAAATGGGTGGAACATGTAACATGTTCTAAAGGTGAGCTTATCCTTTGAAGAAAAAAATCCCTATTTGCAGTTAACCATCTTTCCTTGGAAGAGATGATCTGCACTATAGTAGCCTTCATTCTTAAAGTTCTGTGTCTTTATCCGCCCCTTGCACTTCATTGTGCTGACAGTATAGCTTGAAAATAGCAAAATATTTTCGGCATATTTTCTATTCCATTAAAACCATTGAGAAGTTCCAGTCTTTTCTCACTCTATAAATTGTGTTTTTGTTTATGTCCCCTTTGAATTGACTTCTTATTACTTCCTGTCCTCACAAGGAAACATATCCCCAATGCAACACACATGCAGCAATAAAAACATACAGAGGCTATAAACCTTTTCCTATCAAAACAAAAACGGTTATCTAGAGTTGGAAATTGCACCTACCATTGCATTAGGGGAGCTGAACTTTCCCTTCCTGATTCAGCCAATGCTGTACCTTTTGAGCTGTCAACTTTCATTCACCTGGGCAGTTCAAAAGGAAAATATGAGGAATAAGGCATAAGTAAATGATACTTGTATGAAAACCCCGTGTCAAAATAATCAATAGATGATAGATGTAGGTCAGAGATATAGGCAGTTGAACTCGTATGCACATCTTGACTTTCTCTTAACCACTTCCAGACCGGACACTTTTACCCCCTTCTGACCAGGGCAATTTTCAGCTTTACATACTGTCATCCATACAGTGTCACCATGGTGACACTGTACTACTTGTGGGGGGTGATGAAGATTTTTTTTTTTTTTTTTTTACACTGATTGCTTTTACACCCATATAGGATGTAAAAGCAATCATTTCTCTTTCTCTCTGTGTGCATTCTTGCACTCATTGAGAAGTACTGATTGAGCTGTGATTGGTCACAGCTTGTCACATGGTACAAGGCTGTTGTGAATAGCCTTGTACCATGTGACCTCTGTGATCATTCACAGATTTCACACGTAGTAAGCAATGATGTCACAAGTGACATCTTGCTTAGTACTTTGCATGTGATCATTGATCGGCCAATCAGTGATCACATGATCGGGACCTCGTACAGAGGTCCCGTCTGACGATCCGTGTTTCACTGTGTCCGGAGGACACAGCGGGCACCGGATCGCGGTGCTGCGCGCTCCGAGGGAGCGCGCACAAGCAGGGTGCGGGGAGGCCGTTTATAAACGGCCACCCGACTCTGCACTGCCACCGTCCGGCCGTTTATATGCAACGGCCGGTCGGGAAGTGGTTAAATGTGTCAAGCTTGGCCCTTCCCTGTTTTTCCTATTGGCCTTTTACATTAAGATATTTATGTGGTGCTGGTGGGGTGAAGCTTGGTCTTTACAGTTGTTATAAATTTTAACAGAAGATATCCCTTGGTCAAATTATTGTTTTAACATGTAGTTTTCACACAAAGCAAGCATTGTTTGCGTCTTTTGTTTTCACCATATGTTCAGTTTTATTTGCTCTTGTTTGTGACACGTTCATTGTAAACTTCAGGTGTCTGTATTACAAGGCTGCTGAACTGGTTCCAGCAGTGCAATACTGGAGCAACATGTTTTATCTGCACTTACAGTATTTTTGGTCAATGTTGCCAAACTGGTTCCAGCACTTCAACTCTAGAAAGTCCGAAATCCGAGGCTGCACATTACAAGGAGGTGTGAATCTGCAAAGTTTGCCCTTTCTTGTAGTGTCAGCTGGTGGCTTTGCCCCTTTTAGCATGAGCTTATTAGCCAGTAATGCCACCCTTCCTAATGATGGGTCATTAGGAACTTAGTGGAGGGTGTTGGAACAATGAATGACACTACAGAGAAGTGTAAAAAGTTTGCACATTACAGCATCCTGGAAGTCAGAGTTACTGGTCTTCAGAACAGTGCAACTTAATATACGTGTAAGCATGGTGGCTGCTTTAGAGATCTGGAACCTGATGCTCACGTGGTATCTTCATTTGTTTTTGTTTTATCCTTAGATTTCACTTTAAATCAGGAAACTAAAGCCCAGGAAATCAGCCAGGTCACATTAGAAGATACATCAGAGGATACTCTAACAATCGTACTGGATGCAGCAATGAAAGATGTGATGAGAAAGATGCCACAGCAGCGCACCGGCCTGGTGTATGATGAGCGCATGATGGAACATTACAACATGTGGGACAGGTGAGGAGAAAGACGCAATGTAGTGTTTTCCTTATTCATTAAAGCAGAACTAAAGTTCACCAATACATCACTGGCACCAACATCGTCTTGCTGGCTTCTTCCAGGTGCAGGATCTCTGGATGGCTTGATTGGTTGGTGAAGGGTGACATAACTCCCGTGCATGAGTGCAGGAGTTCATTCAGTCAATTGCCAATGTATGCCAAGAATGTACACTGGGCGGAGCATGCTGAACTCAGTGTACATTCTAAAGAAGACTGCGAGCAAACAGGTACGTTTTATTGCAGAAGAGATATAGCATATCCCTTCTGCAATAAAGAGCCTGTCTGCTCAGTTTATTTTCTTATCAGTTTTGGTTCCACTTTATAGAAGAGAAAATTCTGCATAGCACACTTTAGAAAAAGAAAACTGGTTTATTGACTAAGCCTAAACATTATACAGACTAGTTTACTTTAAAGGGCATCTCTAGCTGAACACCTGAACTCACAGATGAAAAATATATACCTGACAAATGATTGGTAAAGCAATGAACATACTATGGTGATCTCGTAACCCAGCTATGCTGGATAGTATACAAGGGTGACGTGCAGTTATGTCACAGGACTGCATGGTATATTGTAGACCTTCAAGGTCAATGTTACTGTTTATTATTGTCAGTAGTTTGCTCAGTGCTGTTCTCTGATCTTTTTTCTTTCTCAGTGGCCACCCTGAAGCTCCACAAAGAATTGCACGAATATACCTGTGTCATAAGGAGATGGGACTGTTGGATCGCTGCGTTCGTCTCTCCCCCCGTGTGGCAACCAAAGAGCAGCTACAATTGTGCCACAGGTGTGTACATACAACAGAAGCAAATCATTTTATAGCTTGGGACTTCTTTTGCTGAGTTAGGAAAGTGTGGAATTTAAAGTGATATTAAAGGTTTGGTTTAAAAAAAAAAGCATGTTATACCGGCTCTGTGGGATAGTTTTGCACAGAGCAGCCCTGATCCTCTTCTTGGGTTCCCGCGACAACACTCTTGGCTTATCCCCTTTGCCCAGTGCCCCCATTATCAAGCCTCTTGCTATGCGTGCACTGGTGCATGCTCGCTCCCGAGTCCTGCTCTATGGGTTCATAAGACACATAGAGCCACTGGTCGGCCTCACCTCCCACTCTTTCCTCATTGGCTGTGATTGACAGTAGTGGGAGCCAGTGGCTCCCTCTGCTGTCTCAGCCAATGAGGAGAGAGAGTCCTGGGACAAACGAGGCTCCCATGTACAGCGCTGGATCGAGAGGAGGCGCAGGTGAGTATTCGGGGGCTGTGGGAGGAGCGCCACATGGAAGATTTTTTACCTCTGTGCACAGAATGCATGAAGGTAAAAAAACTTCAGCCTTTAGAACCATATTAAAGATATCAGAGGGACCAAGTACCATCGTGCCAGAGATTAAAGGGAAGATACTTTGGATAGTATTTTTTAAGGTGTCTGCAAATGCAAGAGCGAAAATTTAATTTATTGCAGCTTACCAGACCATAGATGTGGTGGCTGCATTAGTTTTCTTTATTTTAAGCTTTTTCCTTAGTTTTCACCTGGTGATCCTGCCAATACCATAGTTCCTGTCTTGTCGTGATAACACTCACTCGCTGTACTATATTTATGTAGGAGTATCATTGTCACTTGAGGACAAAAAGTGTGTTGGGACTACTAAACACTTCTTTCTCATCCTCATAACATAAGAGGGAAGTGTTCCATAGTTCACAGTGTGAACCAAGCAGGGCTGATAAAAGTGGATATTTCTGCAATATTTTTGGAGTGCTGTTCATCAGGCATTGAAGCATTTTAAATGTATTTGTTTATGAGACGGTTTAGCCCCCATTCACAGTTAAACAGTTTCCCTATGCCTGATTACACCTGATTATGCTGAATATACAGTCGCTCATTGGAAATAAACAACTGCTGCACACTGATGACGTCACATTAGTCCACAGACAACCACGAGGACTGTCCCCACTTTTGGGACTTCCCCCCGCTCTACCAGAACCACAGCCATCACTAGTGTAAACACTAGAAGTGTTCACAAACATTCATCCCATTCACAATGCAGGCAATGTTTGTAAAGTGCCAAGGACCACCAATGATAGTGAGATTGTTTTTTAAGGGCGTGGAGGGGGGTTTAAAATGCCACTGACCACCAATAATTGTAGGATCATACCTGAAAGGTAAATGTAAGTAAAACCACGTTTTTGTTCCTTTTTTCCTTTATATAGTAAAAGAAAAAAAAAAAGTGAAAAAAATATGGTTTTGGTTGCATAATAAATACCAACAAAAGAAAGTTCTATCTGCCTAAGGATAAGTTGAAACTTGTGAATTACAGACCAAGTTTGCACTCTGACCTCATTATGTGGCCATCTTTACATAAACATGATTGGTCTTCACAGTCTTCCATACATTGAGAAGATAGAAAGGTGTTCCCGACTGAAAGCCAGGGACCTGCATAGAATGGGGGATGAGTATAACTCCATTTACATCAACAACAAGTCTTACAGCAGTGCCTGTCTGGCTGCCGGTTCGACATTCAGTGCGGTGGAAGCTGTTCTTACAGGGAAGGTAAGATGCAAAACACTTTTGTATATGACCCAAAGTCATTTTTTGATGTTCCATTGACATTTTTGATTAGCACCCCTATTTTTATGATGACCTTTCATATGGAGTTTTGTAGATTCTTCTACAGGGTGGATTTGATTTAAATCAAGTTGATTTAAATCACGATTTGTACAGGGGTAAAAATTATATCTCCCTCTCTGGAGTCTATACCTTTATAGTCATATAGTTAGTTTGGCTGAAAAAAGACAAAAGTACATCCAGTTCAACAATTAAAAAAAAAAAAAAAAAAAAGTTATAATCCTATACTCAGAGTTGATTCAGAGGAAGGCAAAAAAAACAAGGAAAGCATGATCTAATTTGCTCCTGCAGGGAAAAAAATTCCTTCCTGTTCCCCCGAGAGAGATGTAAATCACTAGTGAAAAGGCTCCATTTAAATAATAATTTTTAAAGAGCAACTGTCATCTCTGTCGCGCAGCGGCTCCTCTGACCCGCTGTTGACTCACCGATAATCCCATTCACTTTGATGGGACAGCTGGTGATGTGACAGTGTCACAACAAGGTGAGGGATGTGGCGGCAGCAGGTGAGTGGATGTCTGCTAACAGGCGCCATGATGGATCTAAAATGACAGTGCTCTTTAAATGTAAGGAATCCAACTCATTCTTGCTGGTAGTTAGAATCTTTAACCACTTGCCCTCCTGATGATTTACTCCCCTTCCTGACCAGGCCTTTTTTTGCTATCCAGCGCTGCACTATTTTTTTTTCACACAAATAGAGCTTTCTTTCAGTGGTATTTTATACCTAGCATTAGAAGTGTTTGCCACACATTACTCACTCTTCTAACCACCTGAAGACAAAGCCTTTTTGTTCACAAGAAAAAATTCTGTATTTTTTGCTAGGAAATTACTTTGAACCCCAAACATTATATATTTTTTAAAGCAGACACCCTAGTGAATAAAATGGTGGGTGCTGCAATTTTTTATGTCACATAGTACTTGCTCAGCGATTTTTTGCTAATTTAAAAAAAAAGAAATACACTTTTTTACTTTTAATGCACATAACACAATATATTGGCCAATTATTTGGTACAATATAAGAGATGATGGTATGCCAAGTAAACAGATATCAAACATGACATGACAAACTGCATACATTTTTAATATCCATAGGCAATGCTTTGAAAGCCTTTACAAGCTATAATTTTAGATTTACAGAGGAGGTGTAGTGCTAGAATTACTGCCCTTGATCTGACGTTTGTGACGATACCTCACATGCATGTTGCAACCGCTGTTTACATACTGGCAAGGGCTCAATGCTCACGCACACAAGTGTGCACACGCTCAGGGGCGCGAGGGTGCTTTTTTTTTTTTTTTTTATCACTTTTAATGCTATCCCAAGGAATACAGATAGCACCTGATCCCCTGTAACTTCTATGGGCATTGACATATATTCTTTTTTGAGAAATCTGGGGTCTATCAGACTCTAGATATTTCCTCTGCCCTTACATTATCTAATTTCACCAAGATGGGTGTGATCAGATGCTTTCCCAATTTACAAATGGCGCTGTTCATATCCTGCGAAACTGAAGTGACGAAATGCTCGTAGCTTTTGATCTCTTAGACTATAGAGATGATTGACGCCATTCCGGTCTCCAATCAGGTCTATGGTCAGCTGACAGAAACACCTGCTGCATTCTCAGGTTCCCCCGATGGCACGGGACTGCCCGAGAAGGCCGTGGAAGGCAGTGGAGGAGGAGGGCATCTTCTCCCGCTGCTTGTAAAAGCAATCCTGCAGCTAATTAGCCACTAGGATTGCTTTTACATGAAAGCCAATCGCCAGCTGAAAAAAAATTATACCAGGATGATGCCTGCAGTACGTCGCTGGTCCTTGTTGGGTATGTATGCTATATTCTTTTTTTTTTATATGCAGCCTGTGAGCTGAATGCAAAAAAGAGAAGAAATCTCTGCCAGAAAAATTGTGTGGTATGTCCACCATTAGAATATACCGCCCTGCATCCACCCACGTCTAATGGTGGGCACACATGAAAAGTTCTTTCTTTCTCATTCAGCCCGTGGACTGAATGAAAAAAAAGAGCCTAACATATTCCTCTATTCACATCAGTTAAATATATACCGAAGCATAGGGGCCATCCACCCACTGGCCACCCCAGGCCCCCATGCTTTGGCATATATGCTCTTTTTTAACTGTGGATGAAAAATCTTATCCAACAGCGCTGCACACATCTACTTATGTATATTCTGAGAGCAAGACCCTGTTGCTGTCAGAATAAACAAGTCAGTGCTGCAGCTGAATGGCATTCCTGCAAAGAAAACAGCA